TGGCACTGGCCAGATCTGATCGAACATGCTGCTTTCGCCCAGGCCTAGGCGCCGGCCGCACGCACGATTGCGATCATTTTTGTTCGCCTCAGCGCACTCGGAAAGCTGCTTTCACCCTGGTATCGGGCGCCAGCCGCGCGCATCATTGCGAGTGCTGGTCGCGCCTCGGCGGGGGCTGTGCTCCTCTTTCGGAATGCTGCTCTCACCTGGCGCCAGCCAGAAGCATGATTGCGACTGCTGTGCTGCCGCCTCGGCGCTGGCCGCACCCTTGATTGCGAACGCCTTTTCTCGCCCTGGTTATAGACTGTACCATCGCTGAGGTGCCTGCACATCTTGATGTCGACCGCCACTCGCGTCGCAGGGAAGACGCAGCCTCAGAAGCTTGTAAGCTGCGCAAGCTTCTGGATCGCGGCCCCATCCACGTCCAGTTTGGTGCCAAGGTGCCGCTTGGATTTTTTCACGTTGTGCGACTGGTTATCGTTTTGCTGTTCACATTGGCGTTGCTCCGTGCTGGTCACGGTGGTGCTGCTTCCGTCGATGCACCTCACAATTGTTTTCCTCATTGTTCTTGTGCTGGCGCGCGTAGTGCTGTTGTTTCCCGTTGGGCTGATCGCGGTGGTGTTGCTGATGGCGCCCGTAGTGCTGCTTGTTGTGTTGCGTCTTCCGTTCGTGCTGGTCACACTTGTGATTCTGCTTCGCGGAAGGCTGCTGCCTCTGGCGATGCTCGTCACATTGGTGTTGCTCTTTGCGCTTGGGCTGGTGAACGTAGTGCTACTGTTTCCCGCCGTGCTGGTCACAGTGGTTCTGCTGGTGGCGATTGTAGTGCTGCGCGTAGTGCTGCTGCTTCCCGTCCTGCTGGTCACACTGGCGCTGCTGGTGGCGTTCGTGCTACTGCGCTTGGTGCAGCTGGTTCCTGTCGTGCTGGTCACAGTGGTTCGCAGGCTATTGTTCTCCCCCAATCCCCGAGTTCTGCCGGAAAAGTTTGGCCGCTCAGAAAAGGCGGGGAATCTTGGGATACACCCCGAGGGGGCTATTCGGACGTATCCCTATCGAGGATGGACGCCCCCCCTCGTATATCCCAGGGTTGGGCCCCGAATTTTTTATCCTCTCGAAAACCTCACGAAACCTGGGATAGGGGTCGGCGCATCCCCTGTTAGTGGTACTGCTTGTCACGCGCGTGCTGCTGATTACCGTTGTGCTGGTCAGTGTTGCTGCTGGTTGCGCTCGTGCTGGAGCGCGTGGTTTTGCTGTTTCCTGTCATGTTGGTCGCGCTGGTGGTGCTTGTGGCGCTAGTGGTGCTGCACGTGGCGCTGCTGCTTCCCGTCGTATTCGTCACAACGCTGCATATTGTGGCGCTGGTGTTGCTGTGCGTGGTGATGGTTTTTACTGTCGCTATGCCCACAGAGGTGACACCAGTGGCGCTAGGGCTCGTCGCATCCTTGCGGTGCTGCTGGTGGCGCTCGCGGTGCTGCCGGTGGTGTTGCTGGTTTCCGTTGGGCTGGTCCCACTGGTGGTGCTGCTCAGTCTTTCTCGTGCTACTGACAGGGGCACTGCTGGTGGCGCTGGTGTTGCTGCGAGTGGTGCTGATCTTTCTTGTCGTGCTTGTCACGGTGGAATTTGCTCGTTGCACTCGCACGTTTCTTGCTGCACGCCTGACGCGTGGCGGCCCGCAGCTGCAACGGGCAATGGCGACGCCGGCAGCGCGGCAGCCGCTGGACGCCATGCACGACGACGGCGGGAGGGCGCTGCCCAGGGGCCGCTGCTGGCCAGGTTCGGCACCGTTGCTGGCTGGGCAGGGCGCTGGTGCTGGTCGCTGGATCTGCTAGTTGGGACGGGCAGCAGCAGGCGGCGGGCGCTGACGGCAGGCCCACGACCATTACCCCGTCCTCGCGCTCACCGTGGCGGTCCTGGGCAGCGCTGCTACTATAGGCCCCGGCTGGCGCAACCCTTTCCTCTGGGAGCGACCGCCGTTCGGGCTTCTTGGCATATTAGCAGCTGCTTCCAGGGCGGGTCGTCCAGCGCAGAATCGAACGATCTGGACCGTGACGTTTTGTGTTGGGGCGACGGGGGGGGGTGTCTCGCAGTCCAGCGCGAATCGCCCGGTGCTATTGGTTCCCGTCGTGCTCGTTCTGGTGGAGCTGCTGGTGGTGCTGGTGCTGCCTTGCGTGGCGCAGCTGTTTCCCGTCGTGCTCGTCGCAGTGGTGCCGCTTGTGGCGCTCGTGCTGCTGCGCTTGGCGCCGCTGCTCGCCGCCGTGCTCGTTGCAATGGTGGTGCTGGCGGCGTTGATGCTTGTTCGTGTGTTGTTGCTGCTCCTCGTCGCGCTCGTTATGCTAGAATTGCTCGGGTCGCTCGTACTGAAGTGCGTAGTTGTGCTACTTGCTGCCGTGCGGGCCCGATAGCTGTTACTGGCGTCGCTTTTGCCAGTGATGCTCTCAGCACTGCTGGTGGCGGCGACGATGCTGCTGTAGTTCTCGTCGCGCTAGTTCTGCCGGTTGCGCAAGAGCTGGTGCGCGTCGTACTGTTGGTGTCCAGGTGGTGTTTCTGGTTGCTGGTGCTTTTGCGTGTGGTGTTGCTGCTTCTCGTGGTGCTCGTCACAGTGGTGCTGCTGGTGGCTCCGTTGCTGGTGGCGTTTGGTGTTGCTTGCGCTACTGCTGCTGGCGGCGCTGATGCTGCGCGTGGTATTACTTCTTCGGACAGGCCATGGTGGAATGGCGGTGCAGGTGGCGCTCATGCTGCTGCCTTTGTCTTGCTACTCGCAGTTGTGCTGCTGGTGGCGCTTGTGCTGCTGCTGTTGCTGGTGGTGATGCTGCTTCTCTGTCGGGCTGGTCACCGTGGAACTGCTCGAGTCGCCCGTGTTGCTGACCGACGCGTCGCGTGTCGTCGTGCGCATCTCCGACAGGCCGCGTGGACTGCGGTGCGAGGGGCGATCAGCCAGCATTTGTGGGACAGGCTGTGGGCTGTGCCCTGGGGCGCCCTCGGTGCCCAGCGCAAAATCGAACGATTTGGGCCGGCACGCTTTGCGCTGGGGCGAGGGAGCGCTTCCCCCCTCGCCGGTCTCGCCGGCGGGGGGTGGTGGTGCTCGCGCATTCCAGGGCGAATCGCCTGGTGCTGCTGGTTCCCGTCGTGCTCGTTTTAGTGGAACTGCTGTTGGTGCTGGTGCTGCTTGCGCGTGTGACGCTGCTGGCTGGACAGGGCGCTGGTGCTAGGCGTTTGAGCTGCTGTCCTGGCTAGGCGGCGACGACGAGCCATTACCCCGTCCTCGCGCTCACCGTGGCGGTCCTGGGTATCGCTGCTACTGTAGGTCCCGACTGGCAGAACCCTTTCCTGGGAGCGACAGCGGGTCGAGCTTGGGGCGAGCAGCAGTTGCTCGAGTGGTGGGGATCGCAAAATTTCGCGCGGACGGATTGGGCATTTCTTGTCTGTGGCTGGTCCCCAAGACAAAATTGATTGATCTGGGCCATGACGCTTTGCGCTGGAGCGAACGCCTCCCCCCGCTGGTTTGGACTGCGGGGGGGTAGGGGCGCCCGCGCAGTCAAGCGCGAATCGCTTGGGGCTGCTAGTTACCGTCGTGCTTGTTCTAGTGGAACTGTTGGTTGCCTTTGTATTGCTGCGCATGCTGTTGCTGATTACAGTTGTAGGTGCTTGTGTTGGCGCGCGGTGGTGCTGCTCCTTGCACATATGTTGGTGCGTGTAGTGCTGCTGCTTTGAGTCGTGATGGTCACACTGATATTGCTGGTTGCGTTTGAGTTGCTTCACGTGGCGTTGTTGCTCCCAGTCGTGCTCGTCACAGTGGCGCTGCTGGTGACGTTGGTGCTGCTGCCTTTGGTGTTGCTGTTTGCTGTCGTTGTGGTCGCAATGTTGCTGCTGGTGGCATTTGTGCTGTGTCGCGTGGTGCTGCTACCCCATTCCCCGTCGTGGTCGTTATAATGGTGATGCTCGTGTCGTTGGTGCTGGTGCGTGTGGTGGTGGTAGTGTTTGCTGTCATGTTGGTCAGAAAGGTACTGCTGAAGTCGCTTGTGTGGTTTGCGCTAGTATTTATGCTTTTGGTGGCGTTGGTGCTGTTGATGCTGCCCATGGTACTGCTGTTTATGGCGCTGCTCGTCTCAGTGGTGTTGCTGATTGCGCTAGATCCAGTGCGCGTGATCAGTGGGACACCTCGCCCACGATTGCGACGGATGCCCTCGCCTCAACAGTGGCCACATCCGTTATATCGACTTTCTGTTGGTCTTGACCCAGGCAGCATCCCTGGTTGGGAATGTTGTTTTCGCCGCAGCGCAGGTCACATCCGTGATTGTTAATTTTGTTGTTGTACCATTGCAGGCCACGTCAATGCTTACGAATGTTGTTCTCGACTCAGTGCTGGACAGATTCGTTATTGCGAACGCCCCTTCCGCCTCAGCGCCAGCTGCATCCACGACTACGACGGCTGCTGTCGCCTCAGCGCCAGCCATAACCATGATGGCGAACATTGCTCTCGCCCCAACGTTGGCCACATCCATGATTGCGATTGTTGCTGTCGCCTTGGCGCTTGCCACATCCACGATTGCGAATGTTGCTCTCGCTTCAGCGCCGGCCACACCCACGATTGCGAAGATGATTCTCGCCTTAGCGCTGGCCGCATCCACGGTTGCGAAAGTTGCTCTCGCCCCAGCGCCAGCCACATCCATGAATGGGAATGTTGTTCTCATCACAGCGCCGGCCACATCCATGATTGCGAAAGTTGCTCTCGCCTCAGCGCCGGCCATAGCTTTCATTGGAAACGAAGAGGAATTAATGATACAGTGCTCTTTTGCATTGCATGTTGCTGTGTCGCCCCATTCTGGTGCATCATTTGCTACATCGCCACGTTAACACGGATGGGTCAGGTTGGCTCTGGTGCAGTGTCGACAGGGCTTGGGGTTAGGTTATGGTAGGGGTTGGCTACGTCAGGGGGGTACCGCCCGCTTTCATTACAGAGTTGGACTGTAGGAGGATAGCGAGCGTAGCGGCGCCGGGCGCAGAAGACGTTGAGAGCGTCCTGGAGACGATGGAGTACTTCGAGTTCGAGGCCCGCTCGATCCTCCTCCGTACCCTCCTCATTGCCCTCCTTCTTAACTCGAGGGCCCTCCGGAGCCCCGCAGAGCCCTCCAGAGACCTGTGAGGAGCTCCTGCGACCTCATCCTTGCCCACACGAGGTTTTAAGCAGGAGGCCAGACATGTATCCTGACATATCCAGACGGAGGACCCCACCACACATGCAGCTGCGAGTAGACAGGTGATACGAAGGAGGTGGGCTAGCAGACGACGACCGGCGTAGGATACGGCCCTCTCCTTAGAGGCAGCGCGCAACACCATGGACGCAACTCGAGCCATGGGGGCGCTGCTGCTACTGGGGCCCTCGACGGAGCTCCTTGAGCTCCCCACGGGGGTGCGAAACGTGCGAGGGGACTGCCGAAACAGGCCTTGTTTCGCATGCGGAGCCTGCCACAGACGGGCGCTGCAGCAACCCACTGTCTTGCTTCGTTCGTTCGGGCAGGGCCTCGCCCCAGGGAACCAAGCTTCGCCGGCGAGCGAATGGGTGCGGGGCAATTCCGAGGGGGGAGCGGCCCTCGCGAAGCCTTATGAGAGGCAGCCAGTCCCTGCTGAGGGGCCCCGTGCCTATGTAAAAAGTCCCCCGCTCTCACGCCCTTTGCCCCCCTCCTTCGCGCCGCCAGCAGCTCCCAGGCGTCGCCAGCTGAGCCACGCGAAAGAACGGGGTCGTCTGCGCCGACATGGGCGCGTAAGCTGCCCGCGTAAGGTCGCGCGTGAGCGCCCTCGTCTCCAGCGTGGCGTGCCGCGCCGCGTCAGGTCAATATGCCATCTCGCGTGAGGCCGGTTCCTTCTCGTCGCCCACCTGGAAGCCCTGTGGAGGCCAGGACGGTCGTGCCTCGGCCCGCGATCGTCGGGACAGGGGGCCACGTGGTGCTCAAGAGCATCGCGGAGCCTACCGTCTCGTGTTTCGTCCCAGATTTCGTTCGGCACCGTCTAGGGTCTCCAGAGAAGGGCGCCAGGTCATGAATAACAATCGTGTCCAGGGTATCGGCAGGGCCGCTCACGATCCGATTCGATGCGATGCGATTCGCCATCTGGGGCTGCGATTCCGATTCGAGTCGATTCAGTTCGGTTCCATTCGACGGCACCAGTTGGAGCCAGTCGCGGTCGGGCACGGCGATTCGATTTTTATTCGATTAGTTGGCGATCCGATACATTGCCGATCCGATCCGGTTTCGCGATTCGATGCGGCTCGGCCCACATCGGCGCACACTACGGCATGCTTCGCCTTCTCTTCCTCGACCCGCCCCCGGACTGCTTCGGCGGGGGCCAGGACGAGGACGAATCCGCTCCGGAACGCTCTGAGAAGGCCGCGGGACCCCAGCGATGCTCGATTTGCCCTCACCCGATTCTGTCCTCGTTGTTTTTTTCCTTTTAATAATATGTTTAAACATATGTATATATATATGTATATGTATAAACGATTCTGTCCTCGTCCGGGAGCTGTCTCGCCTGGACTGGCGGAGGCGCGTGGGAGTCCCGAGGGCCATGGAGGCGGCGACTGCTCGAGAACGCACGCGTGGGGCCGACGGCAGCGGGGGGGGGGGGGCGTGAAGTGCCCGACGCAGCAGCGACCCCGCCGCGGGGGCATCAAGGTTGAGCGCCCAGCTCCTCCTCCACCTCGTGCTCCTCGCCCCTCCCCGTCATCCTCCCCCACCTGCCCTCGTCCCCGCCGCCCTCGTCTTCGTCGTCGTCCTGCTCCTCCTTCTCCGCCTCCCCCTCCCGCTGCTCCCGCAGCCGTCCCCCGCCTCCTCCTGTTGCCCCGCGCGTCCTCCCACACCTCCTCCTCGTTGTCGACCTCCTCCTCCTCCTCCTCCTCCTCCTCCTCCTCCTCCTCCTCCTCCTCCCTCCTCCTCCTCCTCCTCCTCCTCCTCCCTCCTCCCTCCCTCCCTCCCTCCTCCCTCCCTCCCTCCTCCTCCTCACTCCTCCCTCCTTCCTCCTCCTCCTCCTCCCTCCTCCTCGCGCCGCCGGGCGCCTGCGGGCGGACTCGGATGGGCGAGTCGGCACTCCCGCTGGGGGGCGCGGGGCACTCCCCGATGGGGGGCCACGCTGCCGCAGGAGTGTATAGGAGGCGCGTGCGTGAGCTGATTCTCAAACCCCCTGTACACTCCAGGCGATGCTTAAGAAAACTCAAGTTTTCGGGCAGAGTCTCGATAATTCTTAACGTTTCAATGTAAGTCCTAAGACTTTAATAGGACTGTTGGGTTTTTATTCAAGTTCTGAGACTATGAGTTTCTTAACCCATGATTTCTTAAGCATTTCGCAGGGTGTATAGGAGGCGCGTGCGTGAGCTGATTCTCAAACCCCCCAATAGGGGGACAGCCCCAGGGGACAGGGACAAGCCCCCGAAATCTGTCCCCCCCCCCTTTGCCCTGTGCCATCCCCCCCTTTCCCCTCTGCGAGCTGATTCTCAGACCCCCCCGTTGCCATCCCCCCCCCTTTTGCCCGGCCCGATGGAGTCTGCTGGCGTTCCAGAACAGGGGCTCGGCCGTTCCTTACGTTTTTTTTTTTTTTTTTTTTTTTTTTCTGATCATGACGAGAAAAGGGGCTTCGTTCCTTATTTAGCGTTCCTTCGGCAGGGGCCTGACTGTAGGAGGCGTGGGGGTCGCGAGGCACGCAGGACACAGGTCGGCGGCGAGCGAGGGGGGGAGAAGGCTGAAGTCGGGCCTGTCCCCCTACAGGGGGATTTTCGACGAAAAACAAAACATACCCCCAAAATACCCCCAAAAGGTCGACAAATATTCAACAAATGAACATTTGGGGATTATTTATGTGAGTATGTTTAGGGTATTGTTTATTTGTCGTCGAAAATCCCCCTCTAGGGGGACAGGCCCGACTTAAGAGAAGGCCTTCTCTCGGGCCGGACGAAAGGGGGGGATAGCGAAATCTGCCGCATGCAGCTGGTTTCGGGGCCCGGCGCCGGGCCCATTCCTCGATACAGTGGCGCCTCCGGCGCAGGGAGGCGCCAGGGAAATCAGCTACGTGAGCTGATTCTCAAACCCCCCCTTTGCCATCCCCCCCTTTTGCCCGGCCCGATTGGGTCTCCTGGCGTTTCAGAAAAGGGGCTCGGCCGTTCCTTACATATTTATTCTCTGATGTTCCTCATTTGGCGTTCCTTTGGCAGGGGCCTGACTGTAGGAGGCGTGGCTCGCGACACGCAGGACACAGTCGGCGGCGAGCGAGGGGGGAAGTGAGAAGGAGCAGGCCTTAGGCGGCGGGACTGCTCAGAAGCCGTCGCGCCTGCTGAGAAGTTGCTGTCTTCGGGGAAGGCTCAGGAAACTCCTCAGAAGTCCGGGGGACTTCCGAGCCTTCTGAGAAGGCACGCCCCTTCTCATTCCACCCCCTGGCTCGCCGCCTAACAAGGGTGCCCGTGATTTGCCAGTGTCGACCTGCTAATCAGGGCCGATAGTAGACTCGGCCAGTACGAAACGATCTGGCGATCGAGGGTCCGCCGATCGTCGAAGTTTGAGCGATCCGCGCGGCGTCAGAAACCAACGCCTCGCTCGCCACGGGGGCGGAGTGAGGCGTACCGTTTCAGCACTTCTTCGAAGCCGCAGTGGCAGCCTACAGTCAACCTGCATAGTAAGGATGGGCAACCTTCCCCAGGGTAATTACCCTTGCATTCTTGCCTCCGCGGTCCATCCTTCGACGCTGTCGTTGGCCGCGCCCCGCTCGAAAGGCTTCCAGATTGGCGTCCAAGGCCATTGCGTTCTGATCGCGCATCCTTATGATACGGGTTGACTGTAATTGGAAGCGCTTTGCAAGGCCCCAATGAGGGCCACCTTTTCCCGCGCAGTCCCCCCCGGTCGCCCCCCGAGGGCGGACCTCTTCGAACAAGAGACGTCGCCAGCACCACAAATCTTCGGAGGTCCGGGCGGTTTCTTCTGGAGCGGCGCTGGAGAGAGGGATCGAGGGCCCCCTCGAGAACCGCTCTGGGTGATGCTCGAGGGGGCTCCGCGATCACTTTCCGTGGACTCGGCCGAGCTCCGATGCCGATGCGCCGTCTCTGCGCTGGTCTCTGTCTGTCTGTCTGTCTGGCGCCGGCTCCCCCCGGCGGCGCCTCCCGCGCCTCCAGCTCGCTCCGCGCGCTGGGGAGGAGTCAGGAGGGGAAAAACACACAGACAGAATGAATCGTCGACTCCCCGGAAAAGATGGGAACATGTGGGAAGAGGGGGGGGAAGACACAAGACCAGAGAATCTGGGGATCTGGTGGGGAATCCTGTGATTTGTGTCTGTTTCTTTGTGTGTCCCAGGCTTGGCATCGAACGGACGTGTGCATTTTTGTCATTTTTCCTTCGGCGAGGACCATCGAGGAGCATCCTTGATCATTTGGCGAAAAGACCACGCACGAAACCGAAAAAAACACACAGGAAATGGACGTCCGAGCGATGGCCAGCAGGGCCCCTCCCAGGAGGCCCAGCGCCGGCCACAGCGAGTACAGCCCCCGGCGTCCGACGGCGCGTGTTCCTGCGGCCCTCGGCCGCCCCCCCGGGAGTGCCAGGGAGGGTTCATTCCAAGATCGTTGATGACTCTTGGGCTTGCAGTGGTCCTCCTCCTCCTCTTCTCCTCGTCCTCCTCCTTCCCCTCCTCCTCCTCCTCCTCCTCCTCCTCGCCCTCCTCTTCTTCCTCCTCCTCCTCCTCCTCCTCCTCCTCCTCCTCCTCCTCCCCCTCCCCCCTCCTCCTCCTCCTCCTTCCCTCCTCTCCTCCCTCCTTCCTCCTTCTCCTCCTCCTCCTCCTCCTCTCCTCCTCCTCCTCCTCCTCCTCTTTCCCCCTCCTCTCCTCCTCTCCCTCCTCCTCCTCCTCCTCCTCCTCCTCCTCCTCCTCCTCGAAGGGGCACTGCGCTGATACGCCGAAGGGGCACTGCGCAGTCCCTGGCTCTCGGGGCGCAGCTCGGGCCTCCGGCGGCCGTACGGTGCGATGCCGGGCTCCTCGGAAGGCTCCCTTCGGGTTATGATGCACCACTCGTCCTCCTCTTCCTCCTTTTCCTCCCTCCTCCTCCCTTTTCCTCCCTCCTCCTCCTCCTCCCTCCTCCTCCTCCTCCTCCTCCTCCTCCTCCTCCTCCTTCCTCCTCCTCTCCTCCTCCTCCTCCTCCCTGACTCCTCCTCCTCCTCCTCCTCCTCCCTCCTCCCTCCTCCCTCCTTCTCCTCTGAAAGAGCGTGTTCTACCGCTGCTGGCGGAAAACACCGGGGGGGTCACTACCGGTTCGAACCTCTCCCCCCCCCCCCTCCGGAAAACCGGGGGGGGTCACTACCGGTTCGAACCCCTCCCCCCCCCCCCCCCCCCTGCTCATCATGAAAAGGGGGGGGGGTCACTACCGGTTCGAACCCCTTCCCCCCCCCCTCCGGATCCGGAAAACCGGGGGGGTCACTACCGGTTCGAACCCCCCCCCCCTCGAAAACCGAGTGGGGGTGCGGACAGTGGTGGGGACGGTGTTGGTGGGGACAGTGGTGAGGGGATAGCGGGACAGTGGTGGGGACAGTGGGACAGTGGGACAGTGGTGGGGACGGTAGTGGTGGGGACAGTGGTGGGGACAATGGTGGGAACAGGGGGGGACAGTGGACAGTGGTGGTGACGGTGGTGGTGGGGACAGTGGTGTGGGGACAATGGGAATGAGGTGGAAACAGTGGGACAGTGGAGGGTACAATGGTGGTGGGGACAGTGGTGAAGGCGGTGGCGAGGACGGCGGTGGGACAATGGGACAGAGGTACAGTGGGGACAGTGGTGGGGACAGTGGGGACAGTGGTGGGAACAGTGGGACAGCTCAGTGGGACAGCGGAGGAGTCAGTGGGACAGTGGGGACAGTGGGGATAGTCGGGCAGTGGTTGGGGCCGTGGAGACAGTGGGGAGAGTGGAACCGTGGTGGGAACAGTTCTGGGGACAGCGGGGACAGTGCGACAGTGGTGGGTGGGGACAGCGGTGGTGAGGACAGTGGTGCTGGGAACACCAGTGGGGGATGTGATGCGGACGGTGGTGGGGACCGGGAGTCGTTTGCTGGCGGTGAGTAGGGGGGGGGGGGAAAGGGGAAGGGGGGGTGCGAACCGGTAGTGGCCCCCTCCAGTTTTCCGGATCCGGAGGGTAGGGGGGGGGGGGGGGGGAGGGGTTCGAACCGGTAGTGAACCCCCCCCCCTTTTCATGCTGATGCAGGGGGGGGGGGGGGGAGGGGTTCGAACCGGTAGTGACCCCCCCCGGTTTTCGAGCGGGAGGGGGTGGGGGGGGGGGGGGGCGGGTTAGGGAGGGGGGGGTTTTGCCCGGGGGAAGGGGGGGGGGGGGGGGGAGGGGTTCCAGCAGGGGGGGGGGGATTTTCGGAGGGAGGGGGGGGGGGCGACCCCCGGGCTCCGGAGGAAAAGGTTGGCAATTTTCCACAGTAAAGCGGCGGTGGATCACGCTCTCTCGATAGTCCTCCTCCCCCTCCTCCCCTTCCCGAAGGCAGGGAAGTGGGATGCCTTGACCATCCGAGTGAATTTCGAGCGCCAAAAAATTATACCGACACCGACACTGGGAGACCCTCGCCCGACACTGTTTCGACACTCTTTCGACACTTTTTCGACACTTCTACGGGTGCTCGAAATTGTTTCTGGGATGTGGTCTTTATGTACGATGGGAGCAACATAACCTTCGGGGCGCGCGTGGAACAAGTTATATCCTGCGATTCGATAGTTTTTTTCCGGGTATAGCCAGGACCCCAGGTAAGGGGGCCCGGTTAGTAGTAGGGCCTTGGAGCCCCTCAATTGGCCAGGATCACTCAACCAGGTCTGCCGTAGCTGGTGTTTCTTCGGGTGACGGCGGTCCCGCTTAGTGGAACGGGCGGGGGGGGGCGTCCCCCAGGACAGTTCACTAAACCAGGTCCCATTAAGCCCAGTTCTGCCACCGCCCGGTGATACATCGCAGGTTGATAGACTTCCTACCCTGACACGTCTATTGGCGCATTGGCCGTTTTCGGTTCGCGAGAAGGCGTTGCGGCCGTCATTGTTGCGGATCCAGGCCAGTCGGTCTCGGTCCTGGGCCGTTTTTTAAAGGGTGGTTAGTCAAAGGGAGGTTTGTCCACCGCCGAATACAGTGGAGACCCATGCCAAGAAACACCCTGCTTGCCTCCAGGGTGTCCTGGGTTTCTTGAGTTTCGATGGTTTGCGATGGAGAGCGTGACGTTCCCTCCCCGAAAAAATCCATTGGCGTCCTGCGCTGGGGTCTCAGGGTTGGGTTTTTCGTGGGAGGTTTCTCGTGGTCGGGCCCCTACTCTGCAGGAGGCCGGGGCCGGGGAGGAGGAGGGAAGCGACAGGACGACCAGCTCGCAAGCGGATGGCGCGGTCCCCCCCCCCCAAAGCAAGGGTGCAGTGGCCCCGGGGGGTCCGTGCCGCACGCCCTCGGAGGCCACCAGAGATCCTCCGATCGAGGAGTCCGCGGCTCCCCCGGGGGGGCGAAGGACGCGTTTCTCATGGGGGGCGACAGGTGGGGGGGAGGAGGAGGAGGAGGAGGAGGAGGAGGAGGAGGAGGAGGAGGAGGAGGAGGAGGAGGAGGAGGAGGAGGAGGAGGGAGGGAGGGAGGAGGAGGAGGAGGAGGAGGAGGAGGAGGAGGCTCTGCCTGCTCTGGCCGGCGGAGGGCCTCGTGCTTGCTCTGGAGGGGCGCGCTCCTGGCCCAGGTCTGCCTGCATCGCCCCCCCCCCCCCCCCCCACCAGTTTCCGCCCCCCCCCTTTACTTCGCGCCCGTGACTTCGCGAGGGCCTCGGCCCAGGGGGCAGCCTCGGCGCGCAGAGGCGCCGCTGTGCTGGGGCGGGACGCCGAGGCCTCTGGTCGCCGCTCTCCCTCTGCTCCGCGTCCTCCGCCTCCCCCGTCCTCCCGTGCCTCGGCCTCCCGCGGCTGCTCGTCCTCCCCATTCCCTGTTGCTGCAGGAGTGTGCCGCCCCTTGGGAGGCCCCACGCCCCCGATGGCCTGGACGCCTCCCCTCGCGCCACGGCTCGAACGGGCTGCCCTGCCCTCTCTCTCTCTGCCGCCCTAGGGAGTGGTGCTCGTGCCTCCCCACGACGGCAGAAGGAGTGAGCAGTGGCGGACCGCACGAGCCCCTCGACGGGGCACCGTGCCTCACCGCCGATGGCCACGCACCCGGCGAGCAACGGCCTGCTCGGTGAGTCGCCAGGCTGGCCCTGTCCCGAAGTGAGGGCCAGCTCCTACACGCCCGCAGGGGTCTCACGAGCCCTCTGGCTAGAGGAGCTCCGACCCCAGAGCGCCTGCCTTGCCTTGCCTCCTCCTCCTCCTCCCCCTCGTTCGCTGGACCCCCCCCCGCTCTGCTGCTGCTGCTGCTTCTCCCTCCCCCTCCCGCTGCTCCCCCTCGGCCCTCGGCAGGCCAACGACAGGGTGGTCACGCAGGGCGAAGTCGGGAATACCTTCTTCGTCGTGCACGAAGGCGCGGAGCCATGGCGTCGCCGTCGACGTCGAGGTCGTCGTCGCCGCAGCCGCTGTCGGTGTCACCTTCGTCGGCTGAGGAGGACTAGGAGGAGTGGGAGGAGGAGGAGGAGAAGGAGGAGGAGGAGGAGGAGGAGGACGAAAAGGGGGAGAAGGACCCAGACGGGGGCGGAGACGGAGGCGAGGCGGGGGAGGAGGAAAAGTAAAGAGGCAAAGCGAGGAGCAGGAGGAGGGAAGGGAGGAGGAGGAGGAAGAGAGGAGGAGGAGAAGGAGAAGGAGGAGGAGGAGGCAGAGCAAGGCAGAGCGTGGCTGAGCGCGGAGGAGGAAGAGGGGAGGGAGGAGGAGGAGGAGAAGGAGGAGGAGGAGGAGGAGCAGGAGGAGGAGGAGCGAGGAGCAGGAGGAGGAGGAGGGAGGAGGAGGAGGCGGAGGAGGAGGAGGAGGAGGAGGAGGAGAAGACGAATAATAATAATAATAATAATAATAATAATAATAATACTAATAAGCAGAAGAATAATGATACTAATAATCAGAAGAAAAACAAAAATACGAAAACTAATAATAATAAGAAGAAGGAGGAGGAAGGAGGAGGAGGAGAAGGAGGAGGATGGTAGATCAGTTCCCTGGGTGATTCTTGGCGGCCAGGATTCCGCTGGCGGCAGCAAGTGACCTAAGGCAAACTTGGTTTTTGGTTTGGGCGCCGGCCGTGGCCGCCGGAGGGGCACCCGGGGCCGCTGCCGGGGCCCCCAGGTGCAGCCGCCGCGGCCGCCAGGGCCGCCCATGACGCGGCCGCTGGGGCCACCCAGGATGCCCCCCAGTAGGCGAATGCGCGCGCAGTCCGACCTCGGCGAAGGCGCCGAAGGCGAGGAGGATGCTGCCACCTCTGGCGACGACCTGGTCATCGTGCGGGGTGGGTGTCAGAAAGGCGGGCGGATGGACCATATGCCATGGGCCGAAACCCTTGGAGCTATGTTGCTCCCATCGTACTTAAGGACCGCATCCCAAAAATAAATTCGAGCCCCCAAAAATGTGTCGAAACAGTGTCGAACGAGTATCGCCTCCCAGTGCCCGACACGTGAAAACCCCCAAGCTTCGGTACTAACGTGATGCTTGAAATTCGATTTGGTGAGGCTACAGTAGGTTGGAACATCATAACCATGGAAGTTGATCGGGCCCAGGCTGCGTGCCAGCGCGATTGTGGTGGCGCTGCCGCTGGCCTGGCCGACGTGTCGCCCGAGCTGGCTGCCGGTGCCGACGTTGGCTTCGGCTATACCCGGGTGCTGGTGACCCCGCCGACGGCTCCGGCGTGGTCCCAGACGGCCCTGGATGCGGCCCAGGGAATTCGGAGCCCGCGGGCAAGAGCCCCTCAGAATTCGCCGCGGGGGTGCAGGCGTCCCCCGGCGGCTCCTGGCGCGGCCTGGGCGTTTGCGGGAGAGGGCGGCGCGCCCACCGACTGGGCGCCGGCAGCGTGACGGAGCGATTTTGGGTCGCCGCTGGGCCCACAAGCCCGGTCCTGGCGCCCGCGGCGGCCCCTGCCGCCCGCCCTGCGGCCGCGGCGGCCCCGCCGGCGGGCGGGGCCGCTGCCGAAACCTCTGGGGCAGCGGCTCCTCAGCATGTCCCCGCGAGCGGCGAGACCGAGGTGGGGCCGTCCCCCGGCACCGAGCTGGTGTTCAAGGGCGTGGTCGTGTGCGACGGTTCCAAACTGGGGGGTCACCGCACCGTGGGGCCTGACGGGCTGGGCTGTGGTTCGATCGCCCGAACCTGCCCAGGAACGCGCGGATTCACGATCGGGCGCGCATCGCCGATGCATCGGCGATTTATCGCCGATGCCAGGTCGATGTTTCCTCCCCCCAATGCCTATCCCCCCCGCGTCGTTGCCCGTGAATGCGTCGCGAGCTTCGGCCACGTCTCAGGCCGCCGAGCGGGCCCAGGTGGCGACCCAGCGCGTCGCTGCCCTGCAAGGAGTCGCGAGCCCGAGCTCGAACGAGATTTTCGAGCGCATGGCCATGCAGAACGAGGCGATCTTCGACACGCTGTCCTTCATCGCGGACTAGATCGCCATTGCCGAGATGAGCCAATGCCAATCGAGGGCGCAAGGCACTGCCGCAGCAAGATGACGGCCTGCTTTTTCAAGGCGGACAGCGCCTCGTGGTCAAGCAGCGCCCAGCAAACCGCTCTCGATGGTCTGCAACCGCAGTTCTCTCAAGAGCATCGAGCACGGGTTCATCTTCAACATCGAGGACAAGAGGCGCCTCCAATTGGCTGTTGCGTTGTTCTACACGACCTACTGCGAGAATGACGCCCGCCTCTACGACGTCTTCGAGAATCGCGGATAGCCGCCCGAGAGCCTCTTCTGGCGCATGCCGAGCTTCAAGTCGAAGGTGCTTGAGCTCAGTAAGCAGAGCGACATCGAGCTCGGCGCCGAGATCGCCAGGCGCCTCGCCCTCGGCTCGCACGCCGAGCGCGCTGGCAAGGCCCTCCCAGACATCCCCTTTCCGAGCTCCTCCACCTCCACGACCTCGCGCTGCCGATCAATCAGAACTTCGGGCCTGTCGAGAGGTGGGGCGACGAGTTTCCCCCCTGCCGGCCAGCCGATCAGCTCTTCGAGTTGATCCCCCACAAGGCCAAGCAGTTCGTTGCTTGGCGCCGCCAGAACGGCGCGGCGCAGAGCGCTGACCACGCGCGAGCCACAACGCAAACGGTCGCCCTGCCGACGTGGCCCACGAGCCCCAGGATCGAAACTACCAGCACCGACAGGCAGTATGACTTCGAGACAATGGCTCGCAACCAGCATATCAATGTGAATCCCCAGCCGTTCGCCCAGATCCACGCCGACTTCGTCAAGATGACCAACCAGCGCCAGCCCGAGAAGTGCCGGGCCGACGCGAAGGCCGAGCCAGAGGCCGACAAGATTGCGCCGAAGGACGCATGAGAGCCGAGAGCCGAGCGGCAGCGAGAGGCGAGCGCCTGGCGCGCGAGCGCCACGAGCCAAGCGCCCCCATGCTTTTCGCGACGAGGTTGCTGCGCCAGCGTCTCGAGGCACGCTCTCGAGCCCGATCTGCTTTAAGATCCATGCGAGCGTTCGAGCACGCGCGAGTAGCGTTCCAGGTAGCGGGGCGCTACTTCCCCCTCTCGCCGAGTGGCCCTTGATCAAGCATCAAGCAATCAAGCAGGCTCGGTTCTCCATCCTCGGATCGAGGGCCCGAGAGATTGCGCCCGAGCATATCCGAGCACCTTGGATTTTATATCCGAGGATCGTCAGGCTTGGACTCGAAGACTCGTCAGACCTTGGACTTTATATCCGAGGATCGAGGATCGAGCCTCGGCGATCGTCGACCGTCACCGTCGCCGTCGCCAGGCCCAGTCCGCCCGCCATCAAGGAGGCTGCATCCTCGGATCGAGGATCCGAGATCTTGATTCCGAGAAGTTTTCAGCGCCTTGGGTCCAAGATCCGAGGACCGCCACGCTCGGACTCGAAGATGTCGGGTTCGCGAGCCGAGGATCGAGGATCGAGCCTCGGCGATCGTCGATATGCCTCGTCGCCGCCCCCGGGCCCGGACTGTCGTCAAGGAGGCTTGATCCTTCATCTTCGGATCGAGGATCCGAGATCTTGGTCTTGAGCATCTGCGAGCACCTCGGATCCCATATCCGAGGATCGCCAGGCTTGGGCGCAAGGATCCCTGGTCCTCGATTTGAGGATCGAGGTTCGGGCCTCGACACCTGGTGGTCACGCGCGCCAGCGCACGTACGATCTAACGCACTAGCACGCGCGCACATACACACACATGCGCAAACTAACACACACACGCACACACGCACTCACACACTTTTTGGTCGGCGGGGCGAGAGCGAACCTCTTCCGCTAAAAGCTATTCTGGCGACGCACAGCTCTAATTTGGGAGACGGGGCATTGGGGGGCACACTCACGCACGCACACACACACACACTCTCATACACCCACAAACACAACGCCAAACGCACAAACAACAGGTGCCACAGCAGCAACAACAACCGGCAAAACGACATCAACCGCATGCCACAATAGCAACGGGACAAAGCACAACAGCACAAACAGCAGCTGCCACAACAGCACATGCCAAGCCCGCCGCATCGCCGATGCATCGCCGAGTTCCGCTGATGCATCGCCGAGGTGGCGCAAGCAATGTGGTGCAATGGGCGCGAGCTCTGTAGTGCAAGCACTGTTCGGGTCAACCCCGCTGAGGACGCAACGCTTTCCAGGGCCCATTTCGCATCCAGCATTCCGAGCTCATTTGCCGCTCCGGCAACGAAGATGGCCGAGTCGGACGGCGACGATCGTCGGCCTTTCGCCGAGCGGTCGGACGGCGAGAGCGTCGTCTCGCCGATATCCCTCGTCGCGCAAGCGCAGGGCGACGGGCGGGCGCCAGGGGGCGCGCAGACCGAGGACTTCGAGGAGGTGAAGACCAGACGCGCTGAAGGAGAACACCGGAAAGCCCGAGGACAAGAGCCTCGACGACAAGAAGCTCGAGGACACGCAGGCCAATCTTGAGGTCAAGCTGGAGGACAGCAAGGTCAAGCTGGAGGTCAAGCCAGAGGACAACAAGGTCAAGCTGGCAGACAAGGAGGACCCCTGCAAGCTCGAGGACAAGACGCCTCATATCAACCGCAGGCTCGCAGACAACACGCCCTTCGAGAAACAGCTCTCGGGCAAGGCTCGATCCCGCGAAGACGCGCAGCCGCCTTTGCAAGCCCTCAACGACGAGGCAGCGCGATGCCTTGCACTCGGTGCCGAGCCCTGCCCCGCCCCCAGCCTCGGCCCCGAGTCCTGACTCAGCCTTGAGTTGCCTCGCGAGCCGCTGGGGGCTCTGGGCGAGGTGCCTTCGGGCAGAGTGAGGACGAGGTGCTGGGGGCTCTCAGCGAGGCGACCACCAGCTTCGAAGACGCCATGCAGGAGCAGGACACAGGGACCAGGGCAACATATCCGACGACAGCCATAACAAAAGCACACGCAAGCAGCACAACGCGCGCAAGCAACAGCAACAGCAACACAAACACCAGCAACAGCAATCAGCGAAACAACAGCACCACCAACAGTAGCATAACCAACAGCAAGCACGACAGGATCACCAGCAACCAGCGCAACAGCAAGCCACAGCAGCAACAAGACAAGCAACAACAACAAGCAAACAAAAGGAAGCGCTTCAACGACAAGCTGACACCACATCGCTGAGTACACCAAGGCAACAACAGGCAGCGAACAAGGACAAGCCAACAACAGCCAGCAGCCAACAACTCTCAGTTGCCACGTTGGCTCGAGGATTTGCGCATCCAGCCATTGCAGCTTTGGGGCGAGACTCCGGCGACCGCGCCGACGAAGCAGACGAGCTTGTCGAGCCTCTGGGGTCTGGCGAGCTCGCCTTCCGAGGCCCCGAGCTCTCGCGGGGCGCTGAGAACCCCCCCCCCCCTCCGAGAGCGCCGGGCCCGCGGCGAACTTCTTCAAGGAACTCGAGGCCGAGAGGCTCGAGGCTGAGATGGCAGGGAAGGATGCCTCCTTGTCTTCTTCCTCCTCTTCCTTCTCCGCCTCGCCCTTCCTCCTCGCCCTCTCTCGTTTATCCCCGCTGGGCCCCGCCATGGGCGCCGCTGCGCGCGAGATCGAAGGCGATTAAGAATCATCGGCTTTCGCGCATGAAAAACCAGAGGCCCCGAATCATAACAAAAATGCCCTGGCGAAGGGCCAAACCATATGCAGCTGTGCGCACGGCAAGTGTGGGCATCTTCTTCGGCGGCGATCCCTGAGGGGCCACGAAACGCATGAGGGCTGTGCCGGGGCCTTCGGTTGAGCTCCCTGTGGGGCCGGGAAGCGCGCGCGGGGTGTGCCGACCTCGGCGCTGCGGGCGCATTGGAACGCAGCCACTGGGGCCTTCGGTGGAGCTCTCTGCGGGGCGAACTGGGCGCGGTGGGCGCATGCGAACGCAGCCACTGGGGCCTTCGGTAGAGCTTCCTGCGGGGCCACGAAACGTGTGAGAGGTGTGCCGGAATGCGTGCAGTGTGAGCAAGCGAACGCAGCCACTGCGGCCTTCTGTGGGGCCCCCTGTGGGGCCGCGAAACACGTGAGGGGCGTGCCGAAATGGGCGCGGTGGGCGCATGTGAACGCACGGTGGGCGCATTCGAACGCATCCGCTGGGGCCTTCGGTTGAGCTCCCTGTGGGGCCACGACGCGCGCGAGGGGTGTGCCGAAATGTGCGCGGCTGGCGCATGCGAACGCAGCCACTGGGGCCTTCGGTGGAGCTCCTTGTGGGGCCTCGAAACGTGTGAGGGGTGTGCCGAAATGAGCCATTGGCCTTCGGTGGAGCTCCTTGTGGGGCCACGGGAAGTGTGAGGGGTGTGCCGAAATGAGCGTGGTGGGCGCATGCGATCGCAGCCATTGGGGCCTTTGGTCGAGCTCCCTGTGGGGCCGCGGAACGTGTGGGGGGAGTGCCGAAATCGGTGCGGTGGGCGCGTTCGAACGCAGCCACTGGGGCCTTCGGTGGAAACCGTTGGGGCCTTCCGTGGAGCTCCCTGCGGGGCCGCGAAACGCGCGAGGGGCGTGCCGGAATGGGGGGGGGCGTGCCGGAATGGGGAGGGGGGGAAGGGGAGGAGAGAGGGCGGCGCTCCTGCGGGAGGAGGGTTGAGAAAAGGGGAGGAGGAGAGGGGAGGAGGAGCGACGCGGGGCACTGTCTCTTCAAAACGAGGACCCAACGCCGCAGGATGGTTGAGAACAAAAATGACAATCAATCCTGGGGGTATCCTCCGCTCTCTTCCTTCTCCCGCCCTTCTTCTTCCTCCGTTCCTTCTAGAACCCGCGCTAATACTGCTACTACTACTACTATTACAGTGAAACCGCGTAGAAGGGATGAACAGTATTCTCACGGATCGTTACGCTTGCACCCTCGCCCCTGCAGCCCATCTCTGGGCCTTCCAAGGGCTTTGCATCCTTGCCGCGCATCCTGATTATGCGGGCCCGCTGCGCTACCACTGGCACCCCCCCCCCCCTTTCAGGAGTGAGTCGCGGCCGCGGCCGCGCGCCGAGAGCTTGCGAGCGCCGAGGGCCAGGCCCTCGCCCCGGACGATCTCGGCCGAGGCGCGAAGCAAGGCTTCGGCAAGGGCGGAAGACCCCAGGGCAGTCTGGAGGAGTGCAAGGGGGCGCGCGCGCCCCGAGGTGCGCCCTCGCTGCGACGAGACCCACCAGCGCTTTCCAAGCTCCAGATCCTCCTCGACTGGAGCAAGCACGCGGACGAGCACGGCGCGGAGAAGTTCGCCGTGCCCAGCGCCGCGAAGGCCATGCTGCAGAAGAGTTTGCAGTGGAACCGCGAGAATGGCACGGCCTTCGAGCTTGTCCCGAGAAGACGGTTGCCACGGGGAGGCTCGGCAAGAATGGCGGCCTCCGAGCCCGCGGGCATGTCCGCCCGCGCCGCAGCAGGCGCGCGAGCGAGGGCGCCAGGCTGTCCCCCCAACATCGCCGGCATGGCCACCGCCAAGCGCCCGCTCGAGGGCGCCATGCACCGCGCGGTGCTGGTTCAAGCGGGAGCGCGAGCACGGTCACGACGTCAGGAAGGTCACGAGCTGGCTTCCGAGCAGGACGAGCAGCTCCACCTTGCAGAAGGTCGGCCACAAACGCAACCGCGCCGAGATTCTCAAGAGGGAGATCAAGCGCGAGTACCTTCCAGATCAACCAGACGCGCAAGAAGGACACGCAGTCGGCGAAGGACTTCGCCACCCCGAGCCTGCGCGCGAGTCGGCGCAAGGGCCTGCGCCTCTCCGACCAGAGGAACCAGACGCTCAACAAGGACAAGGCCACGCTGATCTGGGCCACGGCCAATATGTTGTACTAGTAGTAGTAGTAGTAGTAGTAGTAGTAGTAGTAGTAGTCGTTATTCGTAGTAGTAGTAGTAGTAGTAGTAGTAGTAGTAGTAGCAGTAGTAGCTACTACTACTGACGGCTGCTACTTCTAGTAATTACAACGATTCGCGGCTACTACTCGCAACTAGTAACTACTAGCAGCTAGTAACTAGTAGCTAATACTAGTAGGTACTAACTAGCTACTGGCAGTTGATACACTTAGAACCTAGTAACTACTACTACGACTACTACCAGCTACTAGTAGCAGTAACTCCCGCTACTTCGAGTAACTACTACTTCGACCCATGTAGTAATTACTCATCGCTGTAAGTAAGACGCACCGTAGTAACTCTTACTACTATTAGCACTACCCTGTGTAACCATTATTACGAGCCAGCAGTAACTCCAACTACATTTGTTATGTATTACTCATACTCGTTTCCAATCGTAGTAACTGCTCTTATTACTACTACTACTACTACTACCACTACTACTACTACTACTACTACTACCACCACTACTACTACTACTACTACTACTACTACTACGAACCACGGCTACTTCTATAAGTAACTCACTACCACTACTACTACTACTACTACTTCTACTACTTCTACTACTACTACTACTACTACTACTACTACGATTTATACTACTACTACTACTACTACTACTACTACTACTACGACTACTACTACTACTACTACTACTACGACTACGACTACGACTACTACTACTACTACTACTACTACTACTACTACGTTTACTACTACAACTACTAGCAACTACTACCACTGCTAGGTTCGCGCACTTGGCGGCGAGGGCGGCCCCGCGGACCTCGGCCACTCTGTCGGGGGCCCCGAGACCTTCGCCCAGCAGAGGGCCAGCACGAGCGTCGTCGTCATCGACGCCACCGCGCACTGGCTCAAGCTCCAGGGCGAGGAGAAAGCGCGCATCCGCGAGAACGGGACCTACGCCGCAGGCGCCTTCGAGAACTGGAACGCAGCAAGAGCCTTCGCCGCTAGCACCGCGAGACGATGCGCGAGGGGGACAAGGCGGCCTTGGAGGAGAATGCCAAACGCTTGACAGGGCACCCCGACCAGACGGCCCAAGTGGGCCAAGCCTACTCGAGCGCAAGGGGACACTTGCACGATAACTCTCAACATCTCCGCAGTCGAGGTCTGGCTCGACCCGAGCGGGGGGCCCGAGTCCGCCAAGAGGCGCAGCGTGTTCTTCGCCCCCTGCGCAAAGCGCTGCCGAGTGAGCGACAGGAACCTCGAGAAGGGCACTTGGCGGCGCGACGTCGCCTACGAGCGGAGCGACGGCGCGACGGGGCGGTTCCGAGCAGGCGAGCCCCTGAGAGCATTCATTGCTCAAGGGCTGGCGCAACGCTCTGCTCGAGTTCTTGGAGGAGGAACGCGCGAGGGTCTTCGAAGCGGCAGTCCAGGGCCTGGACGGGCGAGCTCGTCGCTTACTGGACCATCGGTTTCATCGAGCAGCAGCACGGCAAGAGCCTCGTGTTCGCAGACTGCCTCTCGAGCCAGTGGACCGAGGCAGTGGCGCTCCCAGCGTGGCTCCAGAATGTGATCCACGCGCCCATGGCCCCCGGCATCACGAGCTGCTTGCAGGGGCCGGACGCCCTCGAGCACAGCTAGCACAAGGCCACGATCCGAGAGGTCAAGGCCATGATGCACTGGGCCATGGAGCAGGACTGGATCCAGAAGGCCAAGGCCGAGCCCCAGAAGCTGTGCAAGTCCCCGACCCAATGGGGGCCTTACGAGTGCCTCTACTGCGTCTCCGAGGACTACACTCGCTTCCGCAGGAAGAACAAGGGCGCGGTGCCGCTCCAAGGGAGGCGCGCGAACCGAATGCTCGCGGTCCAGCCGACAAAGCAGGGCGAGCTCAAGGTCGTCACTGGCATGGGGCCGCGGAGCTACCCCATCGAGCCCGGCCGCGGCGACGAGCAGAGTCTGGCGAGCGAGCGCCTGGAGAGCACGCAGAGGTGGCTCGGTGGCGCGCCGCCCGTGCCCGAGTGGAGCGTCTTCGACGGGAACTGCTCCCGCCAGGGCGACTTGCCCAGGGACTGCGAGCAGGACGAGGACCCTTGCCTCCTGGGGCTCCGGGAACTGGACCGCGAGCTCACCGACGAGCAGAAGGACATGCTCGGAACGCCAGAAGAGCGGATCAAGGATATCCAGTTTCCGTGCGCCCTCATGAACTGGATGAACGCGGCGCGAGGTTGGGCGTCCAAGTTCTGGGGCCAGTTCAGGGGCAAGCACCCGCGCAAGTGGCAGCGCGCGAAGGCCGAGACTGGCGGCGAGACCTCGCTCGAGCACCTGAGCCGAGGCGCGGCCAAGGCGAGGCTCACAGGCAATCTGCCGACGGCGAAGACGAGCTTCCCCCGGAATTCAAGCAGAAGAAGCAAGCGGAGGCAAATGGGACAGCAGGCCTCGAGGTTTGCGAGGACCCCCCTGGCACGGCAAGGTGGCTGCGTCACCGAGGAGGGGGTCAACGAGGGCAGGCGCGGCAGAGTGCAGGACGTCTGGCGAGTCCTGGGCACAGGACGCGCGCCGCCTGCGCGCCCTCGAGGTGGAGGCCGCGGTGATCTTCCAGATCGAGAACAGCGAGGCTGCGGGGCTTACGGGCGCTCGTTAGCTTCAGCCTGCTTCCAGCTGAGGCGGCGGAAGCAAGCGGAAGTTAGCGGAGACGGCGGAAGCGGCGGGAGTTGGCGGAAAGTTGGCGGGAGCAGGCGGAAACGACGCGGAGCGGAAGCACGCGGAAGCGAACGAGTGTTTGTGAATCCCGAGCGCCACAGGTCACGATCGAGAGGGACTACAAATTCCCTGAGCCGCACAAGCTCAGCTGGCGCCAGACCAGACTGGCTCGCCGCACCGACCTCGCCAAGGAGTACGCGAGCACGAACTGCGAGCATATCGTCGAAGGCGATGCCCTCGAGCTGGGCACAGTGCGCGCGCTGCCGGGGGAGATCGAGGAGCGCGTCGGCGTCCCCGAGACCACCCTGATGGTCTCGCCCACGGCGGCCGTCGCCCGGGCTCGAGAGGGCCTGGACGAGGACGAACCCGCCGCCCAGCAGCCCGAGGAGCAGCAGCGCAGGGCCGAGAGAGTCGCAGAGACCGAGCACGCCCTGATCTGCGCGCTCTCCGAGGTGTCCGCGCACTACACCTACCTCAAGGTCGGTGGTTGCAACAGCTGCCCCTGCCCCACGGCGCCTCCAGTTTCCGTTCCGTTGCAGAGCGGATCTTGGAGGCACCTTGGGCAAGGGGCACTTGTAGCAACGCCCGCCGAGGTCTCGAGGATCGGCGGGGGCGTCGCGGCGGAGGACCGCGACGCCTTCAAGCAGCCGTCCGAGAACGCCGAACCTGCCCAAAAGAGCCAAGTGCGAACTCACACCTAAACCCCGCGATTTCTCATGGGGAGGTCGCTAGGTTTCACTTTGCCCGGGAGCTGCCGAACGAAGTGACCCCCGCCCTCCTCATCAGGAATCGCGGGAGGGCTCGCATGTGGCCTCCCAGGGCCGCCGCGAGGATCACCCGCAAGCTCGGCGCCGTCGGCCCTGGCGAGACCTGCCCTGCGTGGAGCAGCGAGATGGCCCCAGCCGACGCCTGGTCTTGCGGCCTGCGGGCGAGTCGCTGGATCGAGCGCGCCCTCCGCGAGATCCGAGGCGGGGGCCGCCGAGCGCCCGCGAGCGTCAACGCGACGCGCGCCCGAGGCAGCGGGTGGATCGACACTTCCAAGGAGGCCAGCGCCAACGACGTGGCCAAGGCCGAGAGCAAGGCCGAGTCCGAGCCCTTCAAGGACCCATGGTGGTCGAGCCGACGCACGCTACCTCCGAGGAGGCCTGCGCCAAGTGCCTCCCGCGCAGGGGCGGCCCCAAAGGATGCCGAGCCTACGTGGGCGGGTGGTTTGAGGCCGCGTGCAAGGGGGGTTTCTTGGTTAGGATTGCCAAGGACCACTCTTGCGCGGGCAAGTTGTAGCCGCGAGCCTCGAGGTCTCTCGAGTCAGTCTCGCGCCAAGACGCGCAGGTTAAATCTGCGCGAGCGCCCGGGATCACCACCTCCATCACCGTCGTAATTTCCACCAGCATCACATTTTAAATAACACCACCTTCCCCGGGAACATCATTGATGATCCCCGCCAGACCCCCGAAATTTATAGCCCACGGGGATATTTTTTCTGGGGCGCAGGGTTAATCGGGCGCCGAGCGCTGTGGGGCCCCCGCGGGTGCCTAGGGCAAATCGTCTATGGGCGTCGACTGCAGGCTCGTGAAAAATCCAGAAGTCAGATAAAGGGCCCGGGGGCGCCCGCGCTTCGCGGTCGCCCGCGAGCCCGGCGGGCAGCGCACAATCGCGGGCCCTCAGACGGAGTGGTTCCAGAACGTAGCCGCGCTTTGCATCGCGTGTCAGGCGAGACCCGCCCCCCCCCCGAAGTCTGCGCGGCTTCCGCCAAACGGGCCGAGGCCAAGGGCATGGAGGCCGGACACCAGAAAACGATTTCCAAGCAACGCCATGATAAATTCATCGCGCAAGCCGCCGAGGTCCTCCTGACGGCGGCGGATCGCGGCGGTGCGAGGCAGCCCAGATCGCCGCGTTTACCCGGCGTTGGGGCGCCCGGACGGCGCGTTCGACGGGCGCTTTCGCGGCGGGCAAGGGGCGGCGGCGAAACGTCAACGCGTTGGGCTTCCGCAAGATTATAGTCGTTGCCGCGGACAGCTGGGAGGCCGTAGTCGCGGTTACCATGTGCGCGAGGCGGGTGGTCAGACAGGGGCCCGAAGCACGAGATTGTCGCCCGCTCCACAGGGGTGGTCAAGTACCAGCGCGGCCCCACGACGAACCGCATCGCGCACCGCTGGTCGGTCTCCAAAAGTGGGTGCTCAATCGCCTTGACGGCCGCTTGCCAACTTTCTCGGACTGGCGGCTGTGGGCCCGCTGGGTAATGGAATTTTAGAACAGGAAGACCGTCGCTACGTCGCGTTCAACCGATGGCGGCAACGCCTACTCTCTGCCGGCGAAGACCTTCCTCTCGCCGCGGTGGCTCGGGGCTCTGACGCGGCGCCTCGGGCGCTGGCGCGGTGCGTCTTCTCGAGGTTCGGCGGCGCCTGCGATGCAGGGCAACATTCGTCTCTTGCGCGCGGCGTGCGAGAATGAAACCACACATGCGCTAGGTTGAGCAGCGAATCCGCACAATTGCGTCACAAGGCGTCATCCAACCATGAGAGCCGCCGCCGCCGTTGCGTCGCGCCACACCAGCAGACCCCCTAAACCCGCGGGGCCAGTTACGAACTGAATACGCAATTGTTCTAAGGTCCGCGCGGATTTCCTGGACCTGCTCTGAAGCGCCCTTGCGGCGCCTCCAGAGCCGCCCTCGGCGCGCCCCACGCGCCATAGAGGTTCCCAGCGCAGATCCGAGAGAAGCGCGCGAACCTTGGAACCCTTATGCGGGGGACCTGGATCAGTGCAGTGACCTAGACAACAGTTGTTGTTCCTCGACGGCGGCGGGCACTGATGATGTGTGTGGGGGAGGCGAGGGAACAATTTAAACGGGCGATTGAGGGTCGGCGCCGGCTCCGCTGCGAGAGGGCCGTCTGGCAGAAGAGTCCGAGGGATGGCTGAGCATTGTGTATTTCTTGTTTTTTTCGGGTGTGCTCGTTTTTACCGAAGGGTGGCTTATGACTGTTTCGGTATACCCGTCGATTGAATTTGGGTACGCCAAAGGTGTCCGTCGCCTGGTAGTTTCGCGTGGTGGCGCGCCAGACGGCTCCTCGGCTCCCCCCGGGGCCGCGCCGTGGCGGTTGGCCGTCCTCTTGTTCAGCGCCTGGCGTTTGCTCCTGCGTTTTTGTTCCTGTCTTTCCCAGGTCCAATGGATTACCGGACCCTTGCGAGCCCCCTACAGCGTGCGTGCACGTTTCTTCTTCCGGGTGGCAGAGGAGTGATGAGCAGGGTGAGGAGGAGGAAAGGGGAAGGACGAAAAGAACGAGGATGAGGAAGAAGAGGAAGAGGAAGAAGAAAACGGAAACAACTCATAATAATAACGCTTAGAAGAATAAAAATAATACGAACAATAATAATCATATTGAGAAAGTAGAGGAGGATAAAGACGGGGAGGAGGACGAGGCGGGGGAGAACGAGGATGAGGAGGACGAGAGGGAGGAGGACGAGCTGGAGGAGGACGAGGAGGAGGACTGCGAGGAGGACGAGGAGGAGGAGGAGGAGGAGGAGGAGGAAGAGGAGGAGGAGGAAGGAGGAGGAGGAAGAGGGGCAGGAGGAGGCGGAGGAATAATAATAAGTCCAAGATGACGCATCATACTAATCATTTTAATAACAACTACTTCTACTATACTCTGTAGTATCGCATACTATGATGAGAGGAAGAAGAAGAGGAGGAGGAGGAGGAGGAGGAACAAGAGGAGGAGGAGGAGGAGGAAGAGGAAGAAACAGCGGAGGAAGAGCAACAACAATGAGGAGGAGGAGGAGGAATAAGAGAAGGAGGAAGAAGAGGAGCAATGGAACATGAGGGGGGAGGAGGCGAAACATGGCCAGAGGCAGGAGGGGGCGTCATTCTCGCCCATCCCGCCTCCCTGAGAAAAAAACTGCTCGTCGCCCCGCCCAGCGCGTCGGCAAAGACGGCGTAGCTGCGTGGTTGGTGCTGACTCACCGCTCTGTTTATTTTTGTTGTCGATTGTCTGAGTCTCCAGCAGCTACACCGACGGGGCACAGGTGGTCTTAACATGTGATTCTCGCCCTGCGGTTTGGAGTCTTGGCTTCGCGTGTCGCGGCGCCGGGTCCAGCCCGCCATGCGTCGGCGCGGCGCCAACCACGTTCGGATCCAGAAGCGTCAGCGTCCTGGGCTGCTCCCAACCTTTCCCCACAAGAGGCGGAGCGACACGCTGTCACCTCGCAGGTCATAGCGTGTCGCCGGGGCTACCGCCGCGACGCGCTGAACAGTTCCCGACGATCGCCCTGCGCATGCCCGCCCTGGCCCCTCCCGAGTGGTGAGCGGGATGGTTCCAATCCGTGGCGTTCGGCGGCGCGACGTGCACGCTCGCCGAGCACGTGTGCAACAGTTTCGGGGGAGCATAAGACCCGGGTTTGCCAGGACTCGGGTTCGCCATCGTTTTTTGACGACCGCGCCTCGGATTTTGACGAGGAGGAGTTTCGTGGGATGTCTGCAGCGGGAGGCCTCGTCAAAATGCAGGCTCGGCCTCGTCATTTTTGTTGACGACCTCGTCGGGGATTTCCGAGTCCCCTGTACCCAGGTCTTACGTCCCCCTGACAGTTGCACGGGTGATTGGGCGGTCGTTTCAGAAAGCACCAGTCGCCCTCGCGCCGCGCGCGTCATGTTCGGCACGTGCTATCAGCGGCGCGGATGGGGGGCGGCCCGTTCGCTTGATCTTCCACTGGTCTGCGCCGCTCGGCCGACCTGCAGAGGACTGGCGAGGCAGGGGCCGCAGCGGCTCCGTCTCCCAGGGGGCAGTTGGTTTCGGACGTTGGCACGAAGGATTGCAAAAAGGATTGCAACGAAGGATTGCAAAAAGCCGAAGGATTGCAAACAGGTTTTTTGCAATCCTTCGTTCCGCCGACCTTCAGAGGACTGGCGAGGTAGAGGCCGCAGCGGCTCCGTCTCCCAGGGGCATGTGGTTTCGGGCGTTGGCACCAGGGCGGCGTCTTGAAGGGCATATTTGGGGCATGCTGAATGAGTTCGTTGCCGTGCTGGGGAGACTCACTAGGAGATCGTTCTCCTGGGCCGCCCTGAAGCCGTCTCGTGTTGAAGGTTTCGCAATCTTGGTACGGGGTCGGGAGCTCCTCTGGCACCGTGGGCTTCGCGGAAGTTCGACAAGGAAGGAACGCAAGACCTATATACATGCAGCATGACCATGGGTGAGCCAGCGGACAGAAAAAAACGGAGGGGGAGGCGGGGAGGATGAAACGACATCGTGGCAAGTTGAGGCCGTCCTCGCTCGGCGAACGTGGGGTGTGTTGGCATGGGGATATGAGAAAAGGGGCAGCGAGGAGGAAGAGAAGGAAGAGGAGGAAGAGCAGGAAGAGGAGGAGGACGATGGGAAGGAATTGGGGGGAGAGGAGGAGCAGGAGGAGGAGGAGGAGGAGGAGGAGGAGGAAGGGAAGGAGGAGGAGGAGGAGGAGGACGGCAGGAGGAGGAAAAAGAGGAGCACGACAACGACGACGACGACGACGACGACGACTTCAAGGCCTTTCGCATGTCTCCTGGAGTCTGTTACGAGTATCGTGGAGGCATTTTTGGGACGAGGCGTTTGGGAATTCTTCTCGAGTTCTGTTTCAGTGAGGCTTTTTGAGGGCCTCGGAAGGCGCCTGGGGGGCCTCCGAGGGCCCTCCGAGAGCTTCTCGGGGGCTTCTTCGGGGCATCTGCGAGGTCCTGGAGGCCAGCTTGTGGTGGAGGGTTCCTTGGCCCTGTTTCTGAGGCCTCCTCGAGCTCTCCCTGCTGCTCCCCCTTCTTGTCCTCTTGGGCTGTCTTGGTTTCCAGCTTGGGCCGTCTTGGGATGCTCTTCGGCCGCCTCTGTGTCCTCTCGGTGGCCTCTTGGGCCGTCCTGGGCCAGTCTGGGGAGCTCCTCGGGCCGCCTTTCGGTTTTATATCGCCCGGCGGTGCGAGGATGCGGAGACCATATATCTAAAGGAAAGTCCACAGTCTGTTGTCTCTGGAGGCCCTCTTGAAGGCGCTCTTGAAGTTCTTTTGGAGCGTCGTGGGAGCCTCTCAGGCCGTCTTCAGGCACTCTTGGATTACTTGGAGCTTCTCCGTTGTGTTTGGAGCCCTTTGTGAGCCATTCTCGGGAGGACCTAATCATCCTTGAGGCCACAGTGTGTGGTTCTAGAATCTCGGAGGCTTAGTGGGCCCTGGAAACGACAGGGCCGTCTTTTTGCCGGTTCCGTGTTGCCGTTTTTCTGCCGGTTCCGACGCCTTTGTTTGACGGTTCCGTCGCCGTTCTTTTATTGGTTCCGGCTCGGGTTTCAATTTGGAATCAGTTTGTTTTCTTGCCGTTTCCGGGGCCCACTAAGCTCCGAGGGCCCCAGAGGTGCGTTGGCTATTTTTGCCCCCCCTCCCCCCCCAGTACGGGATTTTGGATCCCAGAGGAGGGGGAACGTGGGAGGGGAGGAGGAGGAGGAGGAGGAGGAGGAGGAGGGAGGAGGAGGAGGAGGAGGAGGAGGAGGAGGAGGAGGAGGAGGAGGAGGAGGAGGAGGAGGAGGGAGGAGGAGGGAGGGGGGGGAGGAGGAGGGAGGAGGAGGAGGAGGAGGAGGAGGAGGAGTAGGAGGAGGAGGAGGGGGGAGGATGAGGAAGAGTAGGACGAGGGGGAGGAGGACAGCCAGCCATGACACGGGGTGGGGGTGGGTCGGCGAACTAGTTCCCTGGCATGCCTGGGGGTGGATCGGCAGAGCTGTTTCCTCCGTGCTGTCCCGTTCATTCGTTTCTCTTCCTCTCTTCTCTCGAAGGAGAAACAACGCCATGAACATAGTACTGGCGCTCTGCGCGGATTTCTTGGGTCCGCGCTGCCCCCCCCCCCGGCGGCGCCTCTGGCGCGCCGCCCCCTGCGCGCTCCGCGCGCCGGGGAAGGGGTGTCCAGCGCGGATCCAAGAAATCCGCGCGGAGCGCCAAAAGTTTACGTTCCTGGTTTTTGTTTTGCTGTTCTCCTGTTCGCCCCCCTTCGTGAACCTTGCTTGGATCCTCGCCCCTTTTTCCGCGTCCTGCCTCCCATCATCCTCCTTCTGCCTGCCCATTCAGCTTACTACCCTGGCCCGCCTCCTACACTGGAGACCCATGCCAAGAAACCCTGCTTGCCTCCAGGTTGCCCTGGGTTTCTTGGGTCTCGATCGTTTTGCTATGGAAGGTGTGACGTTCCCACGCCAAAAATTAGTGGGCGTCCTGGGATCTCAGGGCTGGGTTCCTCGAGGAATGTGTCTTGTGGACTGGCCTCCACTGTATCTCCCTCCGTTTCAGTGGTCTGTCCCTTGTTTTGGCTCGCACGGTCAAGATTTCTGGCCGACGTGCCTCCGCAGCCACATCGGCTCCTCCCGTACGATTTAATCCGCGTCTAAGTCGGGCATGTCCCTCTACAGGAGGAATGTTCAAACATATTAAACAAATAGTCTCGGGTCAACTTTGTTGAGCATTTTTTGACTATTCATTATTCTTCCGCCGCCTACCTGTAGGGGGACATGCCCGACCTACATCTACGTTCTATTGCGGGCGCGCGGTTCTGGTAATACCAGAACTTCCAGTTCGGCTGCGTAGCCGAGCTCCCGCCGACCGCTCGAACTTTGCACCGTGATGGCGCCGGCTACCGCCGGCTCCGCCTCTCCGTGCGATCGCCAGCCTTCGGCGCTGTCGGGCTGCGTGGCGGCGCAGTGCCGCGGCGCCCTGGGGCGCGCGCAGTCGGCGCCGGCGCTGTTCCCCGAGCCCGTGGTGCCGTGCCGTCCCGCCTGCCCGGCCCTCGCGTGGGCGGACATGCTGGAGCTCGACACCCTCCTCCCCGACGGCTCGCCCGGGTCCTCGAGCAGTGCTACTTGCGGCTCCTCCGATGCGATTCGGTTCCATTCCGACGGCTTGCGATTCCGATTCGACTCGGCGTCGGATTCCGATGTGGATTCCGATTCCGTAATGGAGGCCTTCTGAAGCTTGCCGATTTCTACCGATTCGACTTCTCCCGACGTGGCTGCCGAGTTCCGCCGATCCGATTCATTTCGATCGCCGATCCGACTTCTCGATTCGATTCTGGGCTCTCCTGCCGTCCTGGTCGGGCTCGATGCTGGCAGGCCCTCCCCCACCAGGTCGCGCCAGAGCTCGCCGGTTGCTGCTCCAGCGCCGCTCGGGTTACCTTCCGAGTCGCCATTCGACACGCTGCCGCTCAAGATGCCGGCAGCGTCCAACCGGGCGGTCAACTGCGCTCGCACGCCCCTCAGCACCAAGGCAAGGCACTTCGTATCCGCTGCTGCCGCGGCCTCGGAGCGGAGCCCTGGCACCTGGGCTACGGGTCGCGACGGCGGGTGGCCACAGAACGCGCGGCAGACAAACGACGCTCGCAGCGCGCCAGAGGCGCGCACGACCGTAATGATGCGGAATGTCCCCTACATTCGGCGACGACAAAGGGTATCGTTGCGCCATGGTGTGGTTTGCGATCGGCACCGTCGGGGCCTAACTATTGGGCAAGACAGTGTCCTCGCCGCGGCTCTTCGGGGCGCCGAGGAGAGCTCTGTTGAGATCCTCGCCCGCCTCTCACGGTGCCCCTCCGGGAGCCGGTTGCAAACCGCACCCTTTGCAAACCGCACCTCGCCACCCACCAAGCCACCCCCACCCAACCCCAAGGCCTCCATCTGCCCTCCATTTCCAGGGGGGGTGGGGGGGGGGGGAATCGGGGAACTCTGCAAAACCACACATATGTAACCCGTACCCCCCCCCAACACGAAATCCAGGTCTTCGGGTTGGGTCGGGGTGGTCTGGTTTCGGGCCTGGCGAAAGGGGGGGATTGGGAAAGGGGGGGGTACAAAATTTGCTGCATGCAGCTGGTTTCGGCCCCACCGAGGGGCCCATTCCTCGATGCATGGCCGCCTCTGGCGCCGGGAGGCGCCGGGAAAGTCAGGTACGCGAGCTGATTCTCAAACCCCCCCTTTGCTATCCCCCCCTTTCGCCCGACCCGATGGTAGGTCGTCAGCACCCTTCGGAGTCGCCGACACATGTGGACGCGCGAGAGGCTGCTTGCGCTGCTGGACTCCCGGGGCTTCGCGGGGAAGTACGACTTCGTGTATCCGATGGGGCGCTGCGCCCGTGGCCGCCGGGCCCACCCCCCTGGCCGGTGCACCGCTCGGTGCCGTCTGGGAGCCGCCCCAGGGGCTCGCGGTGTGGCTGCCACGAGAGTGGACACCCTGACAGTCCTATCACTGAGCTTAAAACGTGTTCAAAATGTAATTAGGAGACATGTTCTAAACATGTTTTAGACATGTGTTTTACGTGTTTGAGCATGGTTTCCTCGTGTGTTCCAGGCACCTGGAACTTATTTGGCAACATGCTTCCTCTCCATTGATCGTCCTCCACAACGCTTGTGTCACTGAGCGCGTTTCACGACTCGCAAAGTGCCTCATTTCGAGTGCAACTCTTGGGAGGTAAAATTCAGATGTTGCCCTGGTCCGAAGTCCAATCTAATCCCGCTTCATCCCGCTTAATCCGGCTTCTTCCCGCTCAATCCCGCTTACTCTGGCTTCGCCCCGCTTAATTCGAGGCCCACTCCAACGTAACAGCCCCCCAATGGGGGCTTTATTTTCTTCAATATTTCCGACGGAAGCCTCCCAGTAGTGGCATGCTAACCTACTCGCAAATGTCCGAAAAGCACATGTCTGTTTCGATGTAATGGATCGTAAATCCCCCGCGGCGGATGCAGGACATCTGCGAGCAGTTATTCTTTGCGAGTAGTGGAACGCGCTTGTCTGTTTTGTCTTCGTTGGGCCCTGTCGGATCCTCTTGGGGGCGTATTGGGGCATACAGGGGGGGCACGCACCAAGAAACCATCAGATTTTCGGCATGGTGTCCTGAGTTTCTTCGCTCGGCGCGCTGCGCGGTGACTCCCCGCGGCCGTCTAAGGAGCTGGTGCGTTCAGGGTGCTACATGTCTTCCCTCAGGTTCACCTCGCGCGCGGGTTCAGGGTTGGGTTTCTTGCGCTGGTTTCTTGCGACCGCGCCCGCATTGTATGGGCGACGCAAGAAAACGGAGTCGTTTCACCGACATCTGCGCGTAAGTTGCTGTCGTAAGGTCGCGCGTAAGCGCTCTCGTCTCCAGTGTGGCGTGCCGCGCGAGTGGCCCGCGTAAGCCGCTGAGTGAGGTCGCTCTGTCATCTCGCGGAAGACCCGTTTTTCTAGCGTCGTTCCAACGGAAGCATTTTGGACAATTATTGGGTTATGATTCAAAGTTATGTCCAACCCATAACTTTGAATCATAACCCAATATAACCCAATTAGTGGGTTATTATTGGGTTATGATGTTGCCTCTGGGGCATTCTTGGGGACTATTTCTTGGTGGCGCCTCGGGGCCGACGGGTCCATCCTGGGTGGTGCTGGATGCTCGTTGGTCCTTCTGCATGCTGACACCCTGCAGTCTTCTCGGGCAGCATCCTAGCCATGTTGTGGCTTCTGGGGGGTCGTCGTGAAGCCATCCTGTGATAGCTTGGGGTCCCAAGTCGCCCGGCTAAGGGGCCTTTGACAGCATTTGCCCATTTTGGCGCCATAGGTTGTAGTTCCATGTATTCGTGTGTATATATATATGTATATACATGTATTTGTTCATTCGCATTGCGACAGGCCCCGCGGACGCCAAAGCGTTCCTTGCCTGGGCATGTGCGCCATAAGTTCTGCCACAGGCTACGCCAAGCAACCCGTGGGCAACCAGGCCGTTCGCTGCCTGATTTGACGCGCTTGTTAACCACTATCCGAGAATCCTTGGCTTCGGCTTGCGTCGGGGATCTTCTTCTCCTGCTATGTGTGGCAGGCGGACAGCGACGACGGCGCGAGGAGGAGGAGGAGGAGGAGGACGAGGAGGAGGAGGAGGAGGAGGGAGGAGGAGGAGGGAGGAGGAGGAGGGAGGAGGAGGAGGGAGGAGGAGGAGGAGGAACAAGAGGAGGAGGAGGAGGAGGAGGAGCAAAAGGAGGAGGAGGAGCGAAAGGAGGAGGAGGAGGAGGAGGGCGACGAGGACGAGGGCGAGGAGGAGGAGGAGGACAGCGACGAGGGGGCGGACGGCCGGCACCCCCTCCGTGCTGCCGGCCAGAGCCAGGAGCAGGGCCCAGCAGGGAGGAGCGGACCGGAGTCACATTGGAGCCATGCGGGGGTCGTCTTGGTCGGAGGTGGACAGAGCCCCCAACAGTGACACGTCGATTAGTGAATTGTCCGTTTTCGGTTCTCGAAAGGGCGCCGTGTCCGTTATTTTCCAGGCTTGCGCCCGCCAGGTTTGGGCCTCGGGTTGTTTTCACTAAACCACGTTTTACTAAAGGGGGGTCTGTCCAACCCCGACTTGGGGTCAACGATGTGGTAATCCTAGTGGAGAAACGGATTGGGGTAATCTTGTGGTCCACTAGGGTTCGCCTTGGAGGCACATTGGAGCCACACTGGAGTCACATTGGAGCCATGTTGGGGTCGTCTTGGGGTCAACGATGTGGTAACCTTAGGGGAGAGACGAGCTGGGGCACTCCAGATTTCGCCATAGAAGGGAGGGGGTCTGGACCCTCCAAGACGAGCCACTTCAGACCTCCCCCGTGGGGGAAGCCTCCAAAGCATCGTCCCCAGACCCCCCAGGCCCTCCAAGATAGCCTGGAAGAGACCCCCCCCCCGAAATGAGACCCCCCTCCCTTTATTACGAAATCTGGAGTAATCTTGTGGTCAACTAGGGTTCGCAGGGCCATCTGGGTGCAATCTCGAAGTCGTCTCGGGCTCATGGGGTCGCCTCGAGGCCACCCCTGAGTCAGATCGGGGTCACGCGGTAGCCTTACTTCAGTCGGAAGACCATTTGTTCATTTTGGTGTTCCTTTTGGGTCGCAGGGTCGCTCTGAAATCGCTCTGAAGAATCGGGACCATTGCCTGGCAGGCTGGCCATCGTGGAGCTGCAGGGGTAATGAGGTAATTGTTCTGGCGGGGTCTTGGCAGTCAGCATTCAATGTTCTCATGTGTAGCCACGGTAACGCGCAATCGAACTGTAAGACAAATTGTTGTCAATTGTCTCTGCTGGCTTTACCACGCCATGGTGCGTGTGTCACGGAGTACCCCCCGGAGGCGGCGTTCGTATGTCACGGAATACACCTTAGAGGTGTCGGTCGTATGTCACGGAACACCGCGTGGAGACAGCGTCATGTTACAGTGGTGTTGTTGGTGTTGTTGTTGATTGTTGTTTGTGGTTCGTGGCCGGTATTGTAGTTATGTTGTTGTCGCCGTCGTCGTCGTTGTTGTTGTTGAAGAATAATTATTGCTGATTCTTCCTCAACGGTGCATACGGTTTGTTTTCTCAATCAGAGTGTGCCCCTCGACGCTCGCACCCTGTTTTTGAACAGGGAAAATCTTGATGCTCAAACTGGGTTTACAACAACAACCACAACGGCTCCCGCCTGAGACTTCCTCACAATTTAGCCAGGACCCCCGCTCCCTCCCCCGACTTCCTCGCATGTGATTCAGGAATCGCGCTCTCGCTTGGGACCTCCTCATTATTTATTTAGGAATCGCTCTTTCGGCGCTCTGAAGTCGCGCTATCGCTGGAGATTTGCTTGCAATTTACCGACGAATGGCGCCCTTGCGTTGGAACATTTTTGCAATTTACTCAAGCGCCGCGCTCCCGACACCCAGGCACCCAGGAGTCGCGCTCACGCTTAGGACTCCCTCACAGATTACCTAGGAATCGGGATCTCGCTGCTCTTCGTGGCCCCGTTGCAGCCTTTTGTGGTCCCCTCGCTTTGTTTCGCGACCCCGTTGCAGCCCTTCGTGGTTCCCTCGCTTTGTTTCGTGGCCCCGTTGCAGTCCCTCATGGCCTCCTCGCTGCCCATCGTGTCCCCGTTGCACACCTTCGTGGCCCCCTCGCTTTGTTTCGTGGCCCCGTTGCAGCCCTTCGTGGCCCCCTCGCTGCCCTTCGTGGCTCCGTTGCAGCCATTCGTGGCCCCGTTGCAGCCCTTGGTTGCCCCCTCCCTCCCCTTCGTGGCCCCGTTTCAGTCCTTCGTGACCCCTCACTGCCCTTCGTGGCCCCATATATGTATGCCCTTCGTGGCCCCCGCTCGTTCGCGCCCGCGTTGGCCCGATATGCGTGCCCTTCGTGGCCCCGCTGTCGCCCTTCGTGGCCCCCTCGCTGCCCTTCGTGGCCCCGTCGCTGCCCTCAGTGGCCCCATCCTTGCCCTCCGCGGCCCAACATACGTATGCCCGTCGTGGCCCCCGCTCGTTCGGGCCCGTTGTGGCCCCATGTGCATGCCCTTCGTGGCCCCGCTGTCGCCGTTTGTGGCCCCGCATTATCTGCCCTTCGTGGCCCCCGCTTGTTCGCGCTCTTCGTGGCCCCTTATGCATTCCCTTCGTGTCCCCGCTGTCGCCCTTCGTGGCCTACTTCGTGTCCTTCGTGGCCTTGCTGTCGTTTCTCTCGCTCTCGCTTTCGCTCGTCGTCGCCGTCGTCGTCGTCGTGGCCGTCGACGTCGTCGTCGTCGCCGTCGGTCCCGTGTCCGTCCCTCTTGAGGTCGGGTCGACGGCCCGCGGCCGCCCCGCCGATCAGCGCTGCCGCTGGCCACGCCGACGGTCCGCGGCCGCCCCGCCGCTTGCCGGGGCCCGGCCTGCAGGGAAGAAAAGTCTAACCCCCAATATCGATGACGAAGACGCCCAATATCGATGACGAAGACGGCGGGTATCGAGGGTTTGGGAAATACGCGTTATTGGACACTCGAGCAGATAAGGGCGAACAGTCTCACATTGATTGCTGTTGTGGTTGTTGTTGTTGTTGTTGTTGAACATTATTACTTCTAAAGAATAATTATTGTTGGGGCCCCTGGTGCACGACCCCCCCGCCGCGCCTAGGCCGCAGCCTCATTTTCATCATTTTCGTGAGGAAGTCTCAGGCAAAACGGGTTGGTCCGGATCCGGTTGTGTTGTTACGATCGGTTTTCCCTTGCAAAAAATAAGCTAAAGTGGACATTTCTTGTTCTAACATAACCAAACTTCAAGAATCCCTTGCAAAAAATAAGGTAAAGTGGACATTCGCGCGCGCAAGACGAAATCCTTCCAAAACCTTAGTGTTCGTAGCGATTTTAAC